AAGTTAAAGGAAATGGCAACATTAAGTCACTGTAGAAACCAAGAGACAATGATTGATTTTTTTGTTTGTGAGATTCGATACGAATAAATGTAATTAAATATTATAAATAAGTATAATAAAATGTTGCAGATAATGAAATATTAATTTTATCGGAGACAGAGAATTGTTATTAACATATCCCTACATATGAGACGTTTCCTTGGTAAAGATTTATCTGCTTGTAAAATGCTAGGGAAATATTTAAAATGCAACAGGAATATTCCAAGAGATGAAAGAAATCCAGAAGAACTTAAATGCTATGAAATCCTTTATAAAATTGTAAAAAATGGAGTCCAAAAGAACATAAATGCTATATGAAAGAAAAGAAGCTGAAGGAGGTATGTGTAAAAATAGTTGTATAAAAACAGGCAAATTGTGGCAATTATGTAAAGAAACTGATGGATCTCATGGTTTAAACAATGTATAAAAGTAAAAGCAAGCGTGATTGGTGTAATAAATGTAGATATGGAGGATTTACATAAAAAATATGTTTTTTTATTTTGAAAAATAAAATCAAGAAATGGGTATTCAGGAAATTAATTTAGTAATTAATCATTACTTAACAGTAAAAGAAAATATATTTAAAGATGATAAGTATAGTGAATGGTTATTCAAAAAAAAAATTGTGGTTATACATTAATAACTCATTATGGGAATGGGTTTCATTTCCAGCTTTTAGCAAAATATTGTTTTGAAAATAACATTCAAGTGTACACTATCTATCAAAGAAGTAAACTCGCCTATCTGAATGCTGAAGATTATAAAATAAGATTTATTGATTCTACTAATTTTACTCTCAAGCCGTTGAGCGATTTTCGTAAAAAATTTAGTTTAAATGAATTAGCTAAAGGATATTTTCCTCATTTGTTTAAACATCTAAAAATCGGAACTATATAGGAACTATTCAGAAAAGGAATATTATGATTATATGGCTATGATTATATGACTTCTAAACAAAGAAAATCCTTTATGAAACAGTATAATTCTGTAAAAGATGATGTTTTTGATTTTAAAAAAGAAATTATTAAATACTGTTTATCTAATGGAGATGTTTTGAGAAAACGGTGCCTCAAATTTAGAAGAATATTCTTTAAAATCGCATATATTGATCTATTTAAATATACATACTACATTAGCAGGTGTGTGTATGGGCACTTTTGCAGATAAATTCTTAGAAGAATATACTATCGCTATCAATGACGAAATTATTTCAAAAGATTAATATAGTAAAATATCAATTAGATGGTTAAATTATCTCCCTCAAAAACACAATATCAATATATAACATACTCTAAATAGAGGAGAGAAAAACCTGAGTATTAATAATAAAACTGATACTGTAGATAGATTTCATGAAATTACTCTCTTTACTCTTATTGGTAAGGATGCACTAGATGTTTTACCTAAAGCATAGTAAATATGCATAAACAAAGTATGTATGAAAGGCTTATATAAAAACAATTAAGATAAATAACATGATAAAGGATGCATGATATAAACTCACTGTGATATGGGAATGTGATTTTGAAAACAATAAAGAAATTAAAAAGGGTATAAAAAATGGAGAAGAGATTTTGTAGAACTTCTGAATCCTAGAGATGGTTTTTCAGGAGGTAGATGAGAACCTACCAAATTACCATATGAAATGAAAAAATAATGAAAAAAAAAAAAAAGCAGATATATTGATGTTGTTTCACTCTAACCAACTTTATCTAACTCTTTGATGACTATACAATCGGACATAACTACAAAAATCACAAGCCTGTGAGATATATATAACTAGCATGGTTTGATCAGAGGTAGTATCTCCAAGAAAATTATATCATCTTGTATTACCTTTTAAAGGAGATAAATTGCTATTTTCATGTAAATCTTGTTCAAAAACTATTAGTGCAAACGTTTAAAAACTATTGGCGAAAACAGAAAATGTAAAGAATGTTTTGAATTACAAAATAAGGAATGTCAATATACTGATGATGAAAGGATTTTCACAGGTACCGGGATAACAGAAAAAGTTAAATTAACTATTGAAAAATGTTGCAAAATTTTAAATATATATGAAGTATGGTATTTAAAAAAAATTATTCAAAGAATATGTTAAAATGTTTTTGAAATCAAATTAGAAACAGATAATAAATGATCTAAACATTTTAAAAGTAAAGAAGAATATAAAAGAGCTGTTAGAGAAAAATTAAGTATAGATTTAGAAAAATAGAAAAATTTCCAGGTATGAAGCATACAGCTTACAAAATTTGTTTAAAATCATTATGGAGTACATTTGGTCAAAGTAAAAATATGAAAAACTAAATATAGTAAAGAACTGGAAGATTTTTATAAGGTCATATTAAATAATATCGTTAAAGGTTTAGCTATGGTTTTTATGAATTATGCTTGCGGGGAAATGAATTGATGAATATGTCAAAGATAATTTTAATACAGACATATATATGTATATGGCAGTTCTGCTGGTATAAGACATTATAAAATGCTAGGAGATAAAGTATTATATTATGATATGGATTCTGTTGTATACATTGATGATGGCACTAATAAGGTAGAAACAGGATGTATGTTGGCTGAATGGGGAGATGAATTGAAAGAAAATGAATGTATAAGATTATGGATATCTGGTTCTATAATAGCTTAATTTTAAATAATAATGATGAGAGGAAACATAAATGTGTTTCTATATACCAAAAAAGATCAGAAGATTTTATTGAAAAATTACAAGATACTGTTGACTGAAATGTATTTCGAAATATCAAAAATCACCGCAAGATTTTATAGAAAAATGTCAGAACACGATTAATTGGGGATGCATTCTAAAACTAAAGATTTGTCAGATGAATTTATAGAAAAATTTCAAGATAAGGTTGATTGGAAATGTATTTCTGAAAATCAAGAATTATCTAAAGAATGTATTGAAAAATTTCAAGATGAGGTTCAATGGGAAGATATTTGTATTAATCAGGATTTATCTGAAAGATTTATAGAAAAATTTCAAAATAAGAATATACAGATGTATTCGTAATAATCAGGAATTATCAAAAGAATTTACTGAAAAATTTCAAGATAAATTTATTTCACCATTAGTTGAAAACGTTCTTTTAAAAAATAATTCTAAATAAATAGATGCCGTTAAACTATTCTGTAGTTCTGGATACCAGAAATCATTAGGAAATCTTATACAGAAACTTATAAAACATGCCTAATGTGTTTGATTGGGAATATATTTCTACATATAAGAATTTAACAGATGATTTTATAGAAAAATTTCAAGATAAATTTAACTTGAAATATATATCTAAATATAAAAAATTATCAGAAGATTTTATTGAAAACTTTTAAGATAATTTTGATTGGAAATGTAGTTCTAAATATCAAATTTTATTGAAAAATTCCAAGATAAACTTTAGATGGATATATATTTCTTTACATGAAAAATTATCAGAATAATTTATAGAAAAATTTCAAATTAAGGTTGATTAGGAATATATTTCTGAATGTCAAGAATTATCAGAAAAATTTATAGAAGAATTTCAAGATAAGGTTCTTGTGCAATATATGTCTAAATATCAGAAATTAAAAGAAGCTGACGTCATGTTTCATTGCACCTGAAAATTGTTTAATTTTATATATTTTCAGTGGGATAAATATTTACCCTACTGAATCTTTTATAATATTTTAATTTGCAATTGATCGTTTCGATCCATAGAATACGGACAGAAATACACTTAAATCTAGCGGGGTTTCAAAACTTTATTACATAGGAATTTTCAAGGAAAAGAACTGTTTTCCCTCTGAATCTTTTTTAATTTTTTTAATGTTTTCAGTGTCATTTTTTTTTTAATTTTAGAAGAGTTTAAAAATCACTCTGTTTTATAACTATTTTAGCCTTTTTATATTAAAATTCAATATTGAATTTTGAAAATGTTCGAGAGCGTCGTAATAGGATTGTAAAAAAATGCTTAAAAATTACTCTGTTTTATCATTATTTTGCATATATTAAAATTAACTAAAATTCAATGTCAAATTTAGAGAGTGTCATCATAGGGTATGAAATGTTTATAATGAGCAGCGTATGTCATACATTATGGGAAACATGACACATACTGCTATAACATCCACACAAAATAAATCATGATGAAAAAGTATTATATCATTGTAGACCTTAAGTTCTAAGCTGAGACTTTTAAATTCTCTCATTTGTAGAAATGGATGTAAAAAAACAAATTGTGTTACAAAAGAAATAAGGGAATATTTGCTATCCGCGCTCAACTAGGAAAAAGTTACTGAATACTCCCCTCTAAGGTGTAATGTATTTTGCAGCAATTGACAAAACAGGCAGTAGAACATAAATTTTTTTCCAGTTCACGGTGATAGTTAATTTGAAGAAATTCTTTAGTGGCAAAACTTTCAAACTACTACTAGCTGGTAAAAACTTCAGAATCCTAATTTTAAAACAATTTCTCACGTTGCAGAGCAACGGTTACATAATGCGAATATGGCGTCGCCACTTCAACAATAAATATAGTTATTTATTAAATAACAAGATATTACAAAGGCTGCAACTACTATTAAGGCTGCAAAACTGTTAAGGTTGTTTTAGGGAACTGGCTTAATCGCCACTAAGCAGCTCAACTAAATCCATGAACATACTCAGAGTTAAAATATAATAAATTAAATACTGACGTAAAAAGTGACAAAAATATTGGGGAGGTATTTGAAATCTGCATCGGATATTAATACCTGCCATTACGGATCTGCTGAAAATAATTGTAACAAATATTATTATGCGGTTAGTTGCACAAAAATATGATTGTGAACTGTCACAAAATTGACAAAAGTATGTCATTGAATATTTTAAGCTAATATTATTATAATTAATTTTTTTAACATAAGTTATCACATTAAACCATAATTACTCAATGCTAAATTAAACATTATTTAGAAGATCTTACCATATGACTTTGCCTTTCCTGTGATGAAGATATAGATATTTCTTCAAATTCCAGTGTATTTTCAGAACGGTAAGAAATAAAATAATAATCAATTCTGTGGTAGACAACTTTTGGTCGATCCCACTGGATGTATATACTATCAACTGACTGACAGGTCAGGTTTGTGATAATAGGAGCACTGGGACCTTAAAATAAAATAAAATAATAGGGATTTCAAAAGTTTTTTTCAGAATTTTCATAAATGCTTTATATTATTTTTATATGAAAAATATCAAGTCTAAGGTATGATTTTTGAATTTTTAATCTCCTTTTGAGTCATTGCATTTTAAAATAACTGTATTACTTTAAAAAATTAGCATGAAATAAAAAAAGAAAGTAAATGTGTTGTTTATTAAAATTACTTGCATATTTGGTAAATAAAATGAATAATATACACAGAATTTGCGTTAAACTGAGAAAATTTAAGTATCAGGAAAAAAAAAAAAAAAAGTTTAAATAGTTTAATAGTTTAGCCTGTTAACATGGTAATTCGTAAATTTTCTGCTTTCAAATTAATAGGTTTGGAATTGGAGGTCAATATTTTTTTTAATAATACATTCTTTAGAATACAATACATTTTCTAAGATAAAGATCATGAATCTTACTTTTTATGTAAAGTATCACAGGATGTAAACATATAGATTTCAACACCTTTTGTATATATCTATAGCTGTAAGATATATTAATGTTTTGTTGAAATAAAATATGATAAATAAAAAAATAATAAAATTTCCTCATTTGCATTTCAGTCAACAATTGCTCGGATTATATATTTATTTGCTTATTTGAATAAAGCATACGAGGGCTATCTACCAATAAAATGTTATGCAAAAATTAAATGCCAGCTTTTCTTAAACCAAATTTTGATGCAGATTTTGTTTCAATTAACTGATTATTATAAATTTGGTTACATCGATCGCTGAAAACCTTACCATGGACATAATATTTTATTTGCTAGCTATAAAACTTAACTATGCAGGCATTTCCTCAAACCAGTTAAATATCAAAATAATTTGTTCAAATTATGATAAACAAAAAAAATTAAAAGCTGAGATCTAAGGATCTGCTGCATAGCTAAGGAACGCTTAACACAAATAAATTCAAATAAAAGGAAATAGAAAACACACACAGATGCTATATTAGACAATTTTTCCTTGCCTTTCTTTTCTTTTCTTTTTTTTTCATTTCTTTGTACTATTTTTATTACTACTATACATTATTATTTTACAATACCTTTTTACATTACATTTTTATCGCACATTTTTAAGATAGATGCAAATTTATGCAAATATATGGACATTGTTTGGGCATACTTGAGAATACAGTATGTGCATAACATGCTATATTCTCAAACACTGAGTAAAAGAGAAGAAAATACTGAAAGTTTCAGCCAGGGCAATATTAAAATAACAAATATTAAAGTTAAAATTTCTCATTCTTAAATAGGGTACAGAAATTTTACTTACTTTGGACATCTGTAATAATTTCCAAGCTGTTACTCGCTAGTCCTTCATTTTTTCCAGTATAAGCTTTAACCCATATTTTGTATTGCGTATATGGCTCTATAAAAATAATTTCAAACCCATCAATAAAGGAAAACAATTTTTATTCTTAAAATGAAGCTAGTAAAATAAGTATTTGAGAAAACGCTAATGAAACAAACAGAAAAATACTGGTAACTTCAGAGCATTACCTTTACATATACCGACCAATAAAAATATTAATGAGCACAATTATCTAACAGAATGATATAAGTCTTCTCTGACCTATGAGGAGTAAATTTCAGCAAAATGTTGGTAAGTGTATTTGAAGACAGTGATTTCTAGCTAAAGATGCAATATAAAATTTCGTGCTCAAAATATAGCTCGATCAATTCATCCCCTTGGCGTATTGTGCACCATAATTATTCAGGTGAAAAGGAATCCTTGAGTAAATGTCGCACACTAACTTGTCTGTCCATATGTTGTAACAAAAGGCGGGATTCCTGGATCCTTTTCCACTCAGGGATGGAGAAATGTCTTTGATTATATGTTTTCTGCAAGCAGTTACGACAGTGAACGGCAATAAACATGTGAACAGATGTACAGGTGTGGAGACTCATATTCCAGAGTCTATGATAAATGGTGCATTAGGGCATAATGGGTCCATTACGAGGACTGAAATAACAGATAGGGTCAGCCACAATACCGTTCCTTCTGTCATTCCATTCAGCTTGACGGCTTGAAGAGTCATCTTAGACGTGTATTTACTACTGGTCAACGAGAATAGGTTACCAGCATAGCTGCTTGGAAAATGGTTTCATTAAAGCATCTTGTCGTTTGTTTTGTTTTTGATCGAAATCAAATAACCCGTTTGCTTTTTCCATATTGGAGATAAATTAAACACTCTTGAGAGATCCAGGTATTATGTATTTCATCTAATGCAAAGTCAGTTTTTAAAGCTTTGGCTAATCGGCGTAAACATATACATATCCATAAAGAACAAATTATTATTATCATAAAATGCATGTAAAGATGTTCAAAGAAAGGTATACAAGCGCAAAGAGAACTATAAAAATTAAGAAAAAGTAAGAGAGTACTTCAGATACTAAAGCATTCATCTGCAGTCCTACGTTTGAATCTATTCCGAATTAAAGATCTTGCGGGGATGCACAACAGAACACAACATTTAAAAAATTTAGCACTGTAACAATACTCCATATAATTAGAGACAATTCCCGTCTCAAATTCAAAAGATGCAATGTAAGGCCATTTAGTTTACTAAGAAATATAAAAAAAACTGAAATCAACTCGGTAGCTAAGTAGGTAGATCATTTCTGTGCAGATACAGAAGTTCAGAGTTTCAGTGGAATTTTAAGATTTATAAAAATGTAATAAGTAAAGTTAAAGTAATGTTTTGTAGCATTAATCACTGAATTGTTTGAGTTGTTGTTGTGAAAATCTAATAGCATTTGAAAAACAAATTTAAAGAAAAGAGCTTATCATTCATTTACAATTTAATATATGATCACTAACAGACTCATCATTATAGCAATATTTTTGTTTTTCAATGCAACTTCAGGAACGTCAGAAATTCAGCATGTGCAGGCATTTCAAATTAGCTTATCAATGCAGTAAGCACAGTAGTAAAAGTATGTAGAGTAATAAGAAGAATTTAAGTGTTTATTGTTAGAAAGATTCAAATGTAGTAAAATTATTAGATCAAGAACGCTGAGCATGATGCTAAAGAACAGAAGTTTTATTTTCAATAGTCAACCATAATACTGAATTTCCGATTTTTATAGCTTATTTATATGTACTGCAGCCCATTCAAGTTGCAACACCAAGAAAAACGTAACTGGTCTATCCAAAATTTTCAGAGTTCGTGGGAGACCAAGTAATGTGCATGTAACATTCCCTGCACTTGTACCATTTGTTTTGCCACACACTAGTTACAGTCGCAAGCCTAGTTATAATCGCATGTAATGCGCCACACCCTAGTTACACTAACCTTTCAGAGGAATCCAGACCTTTGTCTGGGAATACCGTCTTTGTCTGCAGCATCATATTGGTCATATGACTATCTGGCAGAAATGACTGAGTGAATCGTCCATTATGCACAGGCATCCGGTAAGTCACCTGGTGCTATGGTAAAGGTTGCCACTGGATTCTTATCTTGTTGACGCCTAGTTCTCATTCACGGTACGTTAAATAGCTACAGTTACATCTCTACGGTGTTAGAGTCAGAATTTGCTTGAGACCAATTACCTAAGACAATGCGCAACTGTATACGGCATGAAATATCCAACTATTTCCAGGTGGTACCATATTTTGCTTTTTCCGTGATCCATAAGTTCCAAGAACATGTATCCAAATGAACACATCTAGTCCATAATCACTCAACAATCAGCACACCCCAGACCACCAGTGGCTACAACAGATCATCAGCAGCGTGTCGAAATCATATGAACTAACAACACACATCCAACATTTCCTCTCCTGTATACCGTCCATTAGTGGCTATTCACAATACTAATTGCTTTATGTTCCGAAGTTGAATGAGCTGTAACTGTAATCATTTCACCTTCGTGCAATAAATTATCTACAAAGTAAATATGGCTCTTTTGTACATGTATGAAAATAGAGATAAAATTTAATCTTTATAAATGATTTTACCTTAAAACTTTCAAATTTTACCTTAAAACATTCAAATAAAAAATATAATGTATATCATATGAAAATTTCACTTTGCCAACAGTAATGTTGACTTATTGCAAAATGTTAACTTTCTTACAAGTGTATTATAAATGTAAGAAAAATAAATGATCAAATATTTATAAATTTGTAAAACATTTACATTTCCTCCTTCCTTGCTGTCTTATTTTATTATTAATTTGTGTCTTTTCTTCATTCCAAAATTTATTTAAAGTTTCATTTTCATACTTATAATTTAATTTATTATTATTATTGTTGCTGAATTTCTATTATTATTATTTCGCTCATTTTGTTATAGTTTGTTTATTATTATTTCATTTCAATATTATTTCATAAATAAATTTTCTGGCGTTTTACTGTCGATATTTCTACACTTATTATTTTAGGCATTAAAAACTTTGTTGAATACCGTAAGCTAGTTATAGAAAAATTAAAATGAATTTTAACTTACTTAAGTGGTTAAGTACATATTCCATCATCGGCATAGGATTATCTACTTTTTTGCTTTCAGTGTGATTAGGGTCCACATCTAAGTAATATATACTGTATCCTTGAATTATGCCATTTGCATGTTCAGGATCAAGCCATCTCAGTTTAATAGAGTTATTAGTGATACGAATGGCAGTTAAATTCCTTGGGCGACTGGGAGCTGCGAAGAATGTTAAAAAATTAGGTAAATACAATTACAAAAAGCACTCCTAAAGTTAAGTTGACTGAACATTTCGATTTTAAGCAACAAATTTTAATGTACTTAAAAATTACATTAACATGAGTGGAAAGTAAAACTATTATTTTAAGTAACTGAGAAGTAAAGTTCTGAGAGCCTGAGATAACATTCCTGTGCAAATCATCCTGGAGTTCTCAGTTTTATTAACGTCCTTAAAGGAGAATATGAAACTAAATAATGTAAATTCAAAATAAAGCTGTGAAAAACAAATCTGTCGTATAAAACATCACAGTTCTAAAATAACTTACTAATTTAATAAAGAATTTCTCGTATAGAAAGCAGAACACATACACAAACTTAAAAGTATCAACAAAATGTTATATACTGGAAAAGAATCGAAAACATGCTCATTAAAAAACTAAATTGGAACATCACATGTACCAATTTACGTTATCTCGCTGCATCCAGAGCTTAATTTCTGAAATTAGAAGTACCAGAGCCCTATGGAAGACCGTCAGCAAAGAGGAACAAAAGTAAATAAATAAATAAAATGACTTTTAAAATCATTAATAATTTATAAATTAAAGTTATTTTATCATCAAAGTAATTATTAACTATTTAATCAATATCAATAATTAATATTTATCAATTATTATTTAATTAAATAAAAACTAATTAATTATTATTTATTTAAATAATTAAAGATTTAAGTAATTAAATAAAATGTAAAGAGATAAACTAAAATTTAATAAGCGATTTTTAACATAATTTTATTGCAAAAAATAAAATTTTCGAGACCAAATTTCTACTGAAATTGTTGTTCAGTTACATAAAAGAGGTGCCGGAGCCTTCTTATTTAGGGTTCCTGTGCGCTCCACCTACAATTATGATTTATCCTCAAAATTAAGAAGTACCGGAGCCGGGCTCCGGTGCAATTTAAGCTCTTCGCTACATTAGTGTCTATATACATAGCCAGCCACAAAAAGCATTTTTTCAAAATGAAACATCATAATTTTTTAAAGGTTTATCAGAAAGCTATCCAGATACACACATTTTTATGAATACCGCAGGGAGAGAAGAAAAATAGTAACTTATCTTCAAATTCCTTTTAGTATACTTTTTAATTTCAATTGCTGTTTAACGTTTTCTAGTTATCTTTTTTAACTCTATAATCATTGCACAAAATCCTGCAATATGTATACATACAGTACCCGCCGCTTATTAAAATCACTTCCGTTCAGAACGTATTTGAGTTTATAAAGCGGCTGAGTTTAAATATACGGCGATCTGAGTAATGCAAATCGTGATACCAGTTTTCGGCTTCTCAATTACAATAAAAAGCGACAACTAATTCATTAATTAATCCTAAAACAATAACTTAAAATTAAAATATATAAGAAATTTTAATATTCATTTTAAAGCTTTTTATAATTAGGTAGTTGATGAACTTTTATCTCAGTCAGTTTTAGTCACTTTTACACACATTATCTCAATATTGTTATAAATTACCCCATAATTTAAAAATGCGTCCTATATTCTCTCTTGCTATTCCTATGAGCTTTCTAAATAAAAGCCACATTCCGAAAACAGTTTCAACTGGCTGTAATAGATTAATCTCCCTGCATTTACTATAATATGTAAGGCTTCTAGCAGAGATATCGAATTACTTGTCTTCTTCGAAATGCAAGCATTTCTGTAATGACATTTGCAAGCTTTTATAACACCCTGGTCTAAAGGCTGGGTTAAGAAGTTGTATTTGCCAGAGGACACACTTATATTTGTTAGACAGAGATCAGAGATGTGTGTACTGCACAGTGATCTTATTAGAGAAGTTATTATTTCATTTTTCTGTTCGCTGTCCCATTTGAAAGGAAAATTAGTTAAAATACTACTTGTCTACAAGTCCTTTTTGCTATGTTAAGTTAAAAGTAAATTCTTCAATCTTTCAAGCATTGGTGTTTTCTGTTTTTGTCAATAACCAGTGCTGTCTTTTTAATTGTTGATCCATATTACACGTTAATAACACAGTGACATATTTCTTCAGTTTCTTAAACTAACTGTTGTTTAGCTTTTAAATATTAATTGCGTGTTCTGGTAATGTTCTGTAATGTGGTCCAGTTTTGTCTGAATTACTAATTTCTTGTGGCTTGCATTCCTTTAGCAGCCCAATTTAAACGCCTTGTATCCAGTTCTCCAATTGCATATACCACTTCCTCCTTCTCACCATGCAGTTTCTGATGAACAATGTTGGATCATTTCTCCAACTAACGAGCCGTAGTCAACTGATAAAAAATTCTCTCTTAGCATGTAGCGAATTAGTGACAAAATAGCTCTAGAAATACAAGCATTTTTTAGCTTAATAGCTTGAAATCTTTCTAGAAGAGCAAATTCAACCTCTCTCGATTTTCTGCACTTCTTTGAGATGTACGTCTGCATTTTTTGTTAGTTCTTCTTTATTTATAATTCTTTGTGTAAGTAAATTGCATAATAATTGTAATTCTAAATAATGCTGTTTAAAAAGGCCGCAGTTACTAAGAATATTAAAATCTTTTAACCGTCTATCCTTTTCTTTCAGACCTAAGTCTTTTCGCATAGCAGTTCAACACGTTATAAGTTAAGGCCACAAGAAATTTAAAAATTGCTTGTTCCTTTGATTCATTCAAATTTCAAAATTTATGACCTTTTTTTTTTTTTTTTTTTTTTTTTTTTTGGTGTGTGTGTGTGTGTTTACAGGTATAACTTTCTTTCAGTTCAAAGACTGTCATGTACGGCAATGCTTAAAATCATTTCATCAACTTTTTTTTATAATTCTCTATGAACATAATGTGTATATTCTCAGAAGGATGATTTTCAATGTAAAACAAACCTTAAAAAGATGGGATACAGTTTCTATCCCCTGGTAATCGAGAAGGAACCCTCACTCATTGACAATGCATCTAGAAAATTGCTTTTGTTAACCTTAAGATAAGGACATTCTGCCTCCTCTGAAGTCCAGTGCGGGCAAAGAACCCTAACAGTGGCTTATAGGCAGTGACGTAAATAAGGGTATATAAGCAATGCATAGGGGTCCAAGGTCTTATAGGACCCTTTAATGTTCTAAAAAGAATTAGATTTACAATATTTAAATTTTTAGTTTAGAATGAAAATAGAAGTAGACTGGTTATACTTGTTTCCATAAAAACATATCTATAATGCTTTTACAAAAGTAATAGCAGAGATTTGTGGGCTTATAGAGAGTGGGCACCTGAAGGTTCTTTCATTTCAGTCTTCTAATCTTAACTTTTCGCTTTTGTGTAGTTCCAGATGTGTAAAAACAGGAATTGCTTGAAAATAATCCGTTTGGCATCAGTTGTACCACTATTGGTGACTTTATCTCCAGCGCCAGCAAAACGGAAAAGTAACAAATATTTTTATAATTGTAATATCAATGACCCTTGTTAGTATGAATTATCGCACATAACAATAAAGAACGTTATAACGTGTGGCTATTATAGCAAAAATTGCTTATCAACAACAGCAGTTGTAGAGTCATTAGGTTATTTCGAAGCAAGAGAGATGAAAAATTAGCAATGCCCTCGTCGGAACTCGAACCTCAGGAATACGCGCCAAGTGTTTGACCATTACACCACGAAGGCATGCTATGAAGGCAGGAGAAATACCTTATATACTCCCCCTTTTAAAGGCGGACTGGGTAGGGGGCCCAATCGCCAAATCCTGGTGATGGAGAATCATCATTCACCAACTTTCGCTGGGAAAGTTTAAGTACTTTAATAACTGCTTTAGAAAATAAGTTTTAAAGTTTTCATAAGAACATAGGAAGAAGTAAGAGAAAATTCGTACCTCCTTCATCAGTCATAATTGCCACAGTGGCAGCTGGTCCACGGCCAGCAGGATTGAATACTTGCACTGAAATTAAATACTGGGAAAATGCATTCAAACCACGTATTATATATTCCTAAAATGGAAATACACACAAAAGAAAAATAAGCAAATAGATTAAAAATTGAAATTTTAAATAGTACTGACATAATGCAGATTTTGTTAGCAATGATTATATTTATTTTAAACAACAGAAGTAAATTCTTCAGTTGCTAAGTATTACAATAGCTGAGTAGTATAGAAGCGAAAAAAAAAAAATTACGTAATGCACAGCTAAATTAGAAAAATACTTTATTACTAATAACATACGATGTTTTCAAAGTTCTAGGAATTTAGGTATTATTGTTTTATTTTGACAATTTTCATGAATATTATAATGCAGTTTTCCAACAAAGCCCATTTAACTGAATACACTTATCCTAAAGGAAAACTAAATTTTTAAGCCGATATCAATGAACGTTTCCGGTGTCTCCTCTCTCTCTCTTTCCTTACATCCCGGTTAATCTCTCAAATAGAAATTTTTCAAATGTGGGAACAGAATACTCCTCGCAGATGTTGAGCAGTTTGTGAAGTTTTCACAGCCTCTTTTATAAAAAGAAAATTACTGCTCGTCACATTTTCTATGGTTGCATAAACAACGCTACTGAAATGCCCCTGTATCAGTCAAACAACTCAATCGGGCTGAACAATACTGCACGCGATAGCTGTTGACGCTATAGGCGCCATCTGTGAAAAAATGTGTAACATTTTGTGTTCTAAACTCGCCAAGAGATGGCACCCATGCTTGTTTTGTAGCGTAACCTCGCGGCAACTTCTGTTGAGTTTTTTTTAGTGTGGTTTGAGAGAGACGATGATGTAAATTACTCGGCTCTCTGAATAAATAATAAATTAGTGATACAGTCCACTGTAATGTTCTTGGGTTTAGTGTTTTTATTTTAAATATGAGTTTAACTGAACTATTGAGAGGCCCATGTCAAGACTTGTCTTTGATCCATAGCGTTGCGTATGAGCTCTAGGAATTGAACTAGAGCTCAGTTCCTAGAGCTTTGGGAACATCCCACGTATATGCTTCAATAATAAAGAAATCCTGCACTTAACTCGTTTTTAAAGTCCGTCATACCCGAGGAAATTTAAAAATATGTACATTAAAAGTTACTATACTTTATTTTGCCAAAAATATCCTTTTCTGAATTACTTAAGTCTGAAACTGTGTTCCGCGGAATCTGGGGTTCCAGGCAGGTCTTTTAAGGGTTGTGAGAATCAAAATTCGAAAGCTTTCGAAAACTACATGGGCTAGAAACTAACCACGTAAAAAAAAATCAATTAATAGCACTTTTATTTCTCTTGTTATTGCTGTCTAAAGCAATGCTAAGTAAATCTCTTTTGATAAACAAATTAAAGAGTAAAATTGTTATAAAATAATAATTTTCTTTACGTTTACCTTATAAAGGGCACACTGTACTGACATATTATCAATATTTTCTAAATATTTATTTTTTCTGAGGATGGTTGAGTATGGCAAAGCCGTGAGGGCTGTCTCCGTATCAGGAAATATGCCTTAGTGGAGGACTTTCTGAGGGTAAATAACTCCTATTTACGTTACATACGAGAAAAACCCAACCATGCAAACAGGCCATTTACCTGGGATCGAACCCAAATCAGGTCTAATTACCAGTACTCAGAGCTCTGAACTACTCGGCCCGAGACTGATAGGCGTTCTCACAAAAAAAAAAAAAAAAAAAAAAAAAAAAAGAGACTTTGCGAGGTACTATCAAAAATGTTATAGTTTCAGGGGCTAGACAAAAAATATTAATATTATATTTTCAGGAGTTTGACACAGTTTGATGACCACTGAATGCTTCTGTATTTGTTTTCAGTGTGGGAAATAAAGAAAAAATTAAGCAGAAGTAAGATCTTAACGTAATTCAGTTTTTAAATTGGTCTTTTAATATAAACTTTGAAGTTAAGACAGACTTTTATAAGGTTGATGGTTTATTAAAATTAAACGCTTCAGTCAGAAACTAAATTTTAAAACAATAATATGATTTTAGAAGCAACAATAAAAATTGCATTTCTTTCTTTTTAATTTTTCGTATTAGAATTTAATAAAATATTTCTGCATTCAAGAACAGCCTTAAGTATTTTGTTTTTTTTTTTCAAACTTTTTAAAGTAACTCAAATTTTAAAAATGAATATCAATATTAAAGACATCTGTGCAATACTAATATTTTCTTCAGAAATAAACACCGAGGCTTCGGCACATGCAGAAATTCGTGAAATGATGGCATAAATTTTCTTTATAAATTGAGAAATATAAAAAAACTAATTAAATCAAAGTTTTCATTGTGAAAAGCCCTTCGCAAAAACTCCTGCCCTCTCATTCCTTTTGCAAATTATTTTGAAACTATGTAAGTTGTAAAATAGTCACAACATAACCATTTAAAAAGAATCAGAAAAATATAAGCGCAAAAACCAAATTTTCGATCTCAATTATTGCTAGAATTATTATATTAATGTGATATTAAGACCCTTCAGCATCTATACGAATTTATTCTCTAATGACCGACCTAAATCCATCATCAGAATATAAATTCATATGGATTGGTAAGCTTTTCTTCCAAGCATGAATTCGGACGACGAAATTTAAGTAATTTTTAAGGTACGTTATGTTAATTAACCAGTTATTACGATTTACTGCGTATTGTAACATGAAAAATCGAAAGAGACGAGCTATGGCGGAAAAGAAAGAATACAGAGGCAAGTCCATTTAACATTGACAAATGGATACGCCAAGCTAGGAACGGTTTGGGCGACCACTTGGCGAATTTTGGTCTGGTCCCTGTATCACCGTAATAAGTATTGTAATTGATCATTATATCAGCTGCAACCGCAATTTTATCCTCATATTGCTTTCCAGTAATTTCGAGAAGCAAAAAGCACTAGAAAGATCTCGGTGGCCGGATGAAAACTATGTAACTCTGAGTTAGTTGTTGGTGGTGTTGCAGGTTGTTAGTTCAGCCAAGGCCATCTTGATGGGAGAAGACCGAATCCAAAGGGGTTCTCCCCTGATGTGACGTCACGAGCGAGGGCAATCGTACTAAAGCCATCTTTAAACGGTATGAGCGTAAACAGAGCGTTACGCTAAGCTACAAGTTATGTTGCATTAACTATTCCTGAACTATACTAAATTTAATTTTTATATAAAAAATGATGTATTGAAAGTTAAGTTTATTTACTAGCTCACTTTAATGTTTTCCTTGAATTAATTCTGTTTGACCTGTACTTCTTAAAAGTTAGTTCGCGATACAAAACAAACACTTTTATGATGGAGATTCTTCCCCCATTTTTATTCATTCATTCATATTTGTTACATATGCCATAATGCTCATGTTAAATATTATAACAATCCAGTAAATTGCTATTGTAATTTTTCATTTTCAAACTGTGTATCAAACCCGAATCTAGTAATTTTTTATTAGAATAATTTCACATTCTAAACAAGACAAGAATAATAGTAAAGTTCTTGAAAGTTAAAAAATATTGATCTCGAGTTTATACATATATTTTGTACGTTCACTAAGCTTAAAAAGAGGTGTGTAATAATTATAGTCTACAGCGTATTAGTTATATAGCATTAAATAATTCACTGTAATTCCTTTCCTTTTAGTTATTATTTAATTAAAGTGATTGAATTATTACAGACGCTCCGAAAATGTAGCGTTCCGGGATGCAAGTCAAATTACTTAGCCAAATGAACACCATATTACAACTTTTAAGTTCCCCAAAGATGAACAACTGTGTAAAACATGCATTAGTAAGATTAATAAGAAAGACTGTACCAGGATCATGTGCTTATGTGTGCATTTTTGCATTTTGATGAACGTTTCATCATAAGAGACTTTAAAGCAACACGACCTAATGAGACAGTATTAACACTTCAAAGAAAAGTGTCAGTTTTATCAAAAAATTGCATATTCGACTAATTTTTTACGGTCAACCTAAATATTTATCTTGTCCTTTACCACAAAAGCGAAAGACACCAGGAGACAAGACAAGAGAAATAAAGGAGTGTAAAATTAATTTTAAAAAAAAATGTGTGCTGCAGACAACATTGTCCCCTTTTCAGAATTTTTAATATAAACTTTACAGCAATAAATTATCAAATACATGGGCAATAATGAAAGCATCTGATTATATACTTTTTTGCGTATTGAGAAGGAATATTGCCCAGCAATGACTGTGTCATTTAAAGACGAGCATGATTTAATTGTTTCAGTTCTTCGTGAAGGTTTAAATATAACAAATATGTTTTAATGGCTTTTAGGAAAAGATATACTATTTAATAAATGGTCAATATTTGAAAAACCTTTCAAATCAATTGTACAGTTATAAGAAAACCTCAATAATAGTCGAAGAAATGCTTTTAGTAACTGAAACTCTTCAGAAGTGTTCTGAAAATGCATCAGAACAGATTATGATATAGCAATTAAATTTTTCAGGGGAACGATTTCATTATTGAAAGCTAAACGCCCACAGCTGAAATGATAACATGAACTTGCACATTATTTTATAGCAGTCCTATGTGTTATTCTCGAATTCGAGATAGCTCGTCCAACATTAAATGCTGGGTATATAAGAGATAGATACTTTGCATTTAATCCCCGACAACAAGGTTAAATGCAAAGTATTTATCTCAGAAATCTTCCCAACTACAAAATCATGAACAGGTTGGGAATCTTTTACTTGATGAGATTTGTATTAACTTACTATTACTAAACGGTAAAGTTGGAGGTTCCTCAAAAAGCTTCTACAATTCAAACCATTATGATTTCTTCAATCTTAGCTTCAAATAAAGAAGTTCCTGTCCATAATCTCAAGCCAAATGATTTACAAATTCAGACTTTACAGGTGTTAAAATTTTTTCATGATTGTGGCTTCGAGGTTGTTTCCATAATTTCCGATAACTATGTTAATCATAAATGCTATGTGATGGTGATATGGTGTCTGCTAGTGAAAATGAATTTTATTTGGGAAAAAAAATTTTAACTATTTGATTTAGTTTATTTACTGAAATGT